AAATTACAATGTAATGAATATTAATATCTGAATAAAAACTGAAGCAAGACCTTCCTCTTCCAAAAAAAAAAAAAAAATAAAAAAAATAAAATCTAATTAGTTAAAAAAAGTAATTTTAATAACAAAAAAATATATTTCTTATATTTATATTTTGGTTTATAAGAAATTTGTTATAATTTTTTTTATTATTAAATTTCAAATTCAATACTTTGATATTACTAAATCCAAATTTCACAAATCTATATTTATAAATTTTCTAATGCTTACTAATTTTATAATTACTAACAAATTGTTATAGCTAGATTCTATCTATTTAAAGTTTTAGATAATAGTTTACTATATTTAAGTTATGTTATAAATATCAGATTTATACTAAATAAAATATAAGTATTGCTATTAAGTATTAAATAGGATTTAAGATAATTTATAATTACAAAGGATTCAAATAGCTAAATATATATAAAGATACAAGAAGTTATTACAATAGTTTATCAATTAAAAATTAAATAGACTCAATCATAAAGTTCTTTTATAATTCAAGAGTTATCTCAACTCTGTACTTGTAATTGAATTATATTAATTAACTCAACTTTATTAAAAGCAACTTAGAAGATCTTATATGAGAACTACTCATAGCAAAAGAGAGTAGTGAGCTATTTTAAATTTCAATCTTTAAATAAGTATATCTTATGATCTAGTAATTAAAATTAAATAATTTTTATATCATTCAATTCATCTCAATAAGATGAATTAAATAATACAAAAATTATTTAATTTTAACTGCTAGATCAAAAGATATACTTATTTAAAGACCAAAATTTAAAATAGCCTAATACTTCTTTTGCTGTAGAGGGTTCCCATATAGCAAGTATTAGCAATGATTTATAATTCATTTTATATTTCTGTTCTTAATTCTAATTATTAAGGTTCCATTCTTTAATATAATTCTTTGATTCTATTTTGTAGATACCTTCACTAGATTACTGTAACGTAAAATTATAAAAACCCAAATTCGGAAATAATACTCGATAACCTTAATTCAGTAAGAGGTTTTTATGATCAATTACGATCATCAATTATCACCTGATATTTAGTATGAAAATAAAAGATAAATAATAAAATTAATAAAAAAAATTTACAAAGGAAATAGCTTATTGATATGAAGAAATATCAATAACCCAAGTTAACAGTACTCTGAGATAGAATTTCTGCAAATCTAGTAACTATTAATGCAAGACTATTCTTATTATATATGCAAGAATAATTCAGGTAAAAACAATAGTACAGTTTTTAGTCGTCAAAAATATAGTTTCAAGTTGCAAAGTACTATATTTTTTGATATGACTTAACCGTATATTTCAAAAAAAAATCATTTAAAGTTAAAAGCCAATATCAAAATTATTAAATAAAATATCTATCTTATTGCACTTCATTTATTAGATTTTTTTTTTTTTTTGTTATTTGCTTCTGACTTTCATTTCCTAGTATATATTTGCTATATATTCCTTTCATTTTTTATTCAAATGTTCATTTCTTCTTTATTGTTCAGTGATACCTTTTCTTTTGCTATGCAAAAGTTTGTGCTCATTCTATCTGTCCCATCTAAAATCATTGAATGGTTTGTTTTCACTTGCTATCAAAAATTAGCATTATATCTTTATAGCTTAATTTTTTTAGCTGTTTTAAATTTATGCAAATATTTAGCTTATTCAATATAGAATCATGCTTTATTAGAAGTTTTAGTTTCACTAATACTGCAACGTAAAATCAATTTGTTGCCAGTCTTTACAAAAGCTTTCATTTTTTTTATAGTAGTAGTTATATGTTGTAGAATTTTAAACTATTATATTATAAGTTTATTCTTCTTCATTTTTCTGTATTTGTTAAGTATCTATATTAGTATATTTTATTAGCCAAGTATCTATTTAAAACTTTGTTTATTTTTAATTTTAATAGGAGTCATTTTTTTTGGAAACCAGTTAACATCTTATAAATTGGCATTTTCTTCAATTCATGAAGAATTTGCTAGGCAATTATGCTTAACTGGTATTTATTTCATACACAATCATTTTAAATCCTCAACATCTGTACTAGTAACTTTTTATAAAACTATCCTTCTTATAATTTTAACATTTATCTCCTTAAAATTTATCATATTATTGATTCTTAAAGAATATATCCTATATCCTGCTAGTTTCAGAGTACAAAAAACTTTTGTTGTTAATACTATGTTAACCTTCTTATTAATATTAGAGCCTTATCATGCTTCCGAAGTTCATAAATTCTTGAAATTATACTATATAGAATATGTGAGTTTTATACTAACAAGTAACTTTGGATATTTTGTCAGATGGTTTGAGGAAATAAAATGGCATGAGATTATGATACTACATGCAAATGATGAAATTTTTTATTGTATTTTTAGTGCCTGGTTACATGCACGTAATGAAATAACTTTAGAAAAAAAATTACATAACCTTGAAAAGTATTAAAAGTATAGTGGTCTTGAACTTGTTTCTTTGCAGGAAGATGCCAAAACAAAAACTACATTCACTTCTTGTATAATGAAAAGGATTATAAATATTGAAAAGAATAACAATAACCTTCCATTTGTCTTTGGAAAATGTGCACAATGTAATCGATCAAACATATCTCCAACCTGGTGTCAGAAATGTGAACCTAAACTAATATATAAAGATTTGATAAGTGGAGACCATGACATTAATAGTTGTATCAAAGAGTTTTAAAAAACGGCTCTTTCATATAGAGATGCAATTGAATGAGTTCCATTTGATAGATTTAGTGATATAAAACAAATTGGTAAAAGCAGATTTAGTTGTGTTTTTTCAGCAACATGGCTAGATGGTACACGCAAAATTATAGGCAGTATTATGTTCGGCTTTAAGAGAATATGTAATAAATCATCTATAGTTGCATTAAAGTCCTTACATAGTTCTAATAATTTAGAATATTTACAGGAATTTAAAAATCATATGGAATGTAGATTAAATGGTATTGGCTTAAGACATATGAGTTGACTAGAAAGACGAATACTGATAA